ATCCATCCTCCTGCTCGTCAGGTCTACCTTCGTTACAAAGAACTGAAAAGTACTTCGTCTACAAGACTCAGGTCAATCAGTAGGTCCCTGAATTACCGTCGCGTTGTGACATGGGACAAAGACAAAGATGGAGACCAACGACCAACGACCAACGAGACGACACTACTAACGAAAATATGGTAAGTAAACGAAAAGAAAGAGATGGAGTGCCACCATTTGTAACTTACATTCCTTGTTCGAGTAACGTTGATGACATTGAAAACGATCTGCCTTTCTCTACTTTCTCACCATATGTAGGAAACATGATGAACTTCTCTTGTCTATTGAGAGTTCTGAACATGGTCTAATCTAACTTGCTATATGGATAAAGTCACCGTTGAACTTCTCATAGACGAACACGACTACAAGTGGCGAGTCTAAAGGGAAGAGATCAAGAAAGTCATCCTTGAACGTTGTCTTCAAGTAGCAGTGAAGAGTAAAGAAGAACCGTGGCGTGGAATTGCAGAGGGCCTTGACCGGATGGTGCAGCAAAGAAGTAAAAAGTAACTCACTGTTTGAACTTTGGACTTTGACCTACAGGTTATGAACCGCTACCGAACGATCCACAGCTGGATAGCCAGAACGATAACTTGTAACAGTGCAAGAACAGGAGAGTGAATGGAATGATCCAGTCGCTAACGGGAGAAAATGAACCCATTATGTCTACCAGGTCTGTGCAGTACCTGACTGGTTTCTACCAAGCATGTGCACACATGCTAGTTCTCAACCGTGTCACTCAGCCTGATGACCTAGCTCTGGAGTAGGCATAGTCACAGTGTGCTATATCAGTGATACTAATGCTACATTGTAGGGGATTTTAAATAGACCTACAGCACATGATGTATTTTACTTACTGAGTGAATTGTCCGTTCCGTGAAATCTTTTTCAAACGTTGGCTGAGTGGACTGACTGGAATACGTAGGTCGTTGAGAGAAGGAGAGCGTTATGCTGAACTTGTTATTCACTGAGAGAGCGTTATGCTGAACTTGTTACTCACGCAGAGAGCGTTGTGGCCACTACAGACTGGATTATTAGTTGATAGAAAGAGTAGGAATGACTGGAAAGGATAATGCACGACTAAAAAAAGGTAGGTAGGGACTGTTCAAGAATACTACAGGAGAAGACGTTTACAAGAAAGTGAGAAAAGGGACGGAGACGAAAACCACCAACTAACAGTGGACTGTGCCGTGCGAAATGGACGACTGAGCGGTGCAGATAAAATAACGGTGTAATCTAATGTTTGAACGAATCGTGCTTTACATGCATGTGGTAAATGGCAATAGATGCAGCTCACTGTCTGGCAGACCACGGTCCGGACGGCAGTCTACTTACATACTAATATTAGCGAGGTTTTGCATTCCGAAATTCGGCAAAAAGATTCGGCACGCGGGAGCGAGGTCGAAAATGCACACGAAGATTCGGCGTGTTTGTTCGGAAAAAGCTCACTTTGCCGAAAATATTTTTCGGATGCATTTTCTTGTAGAAGAGCGCTAGCGCGTGATTTATTCAAAGGGGTTTCTTATCTAGGGTTGGGTTTCTTATCTCGGCATCGCTTGGCAGGCGTCTTTGGCGACATAGCATCGTCAGCTACCTTTGATTGCTCCTCTCCACTGCCTGTCTACTCTCTTTCGCCTGGAGTGTCCTCACCGTCATCTGTGTGGCTGAAAAGACTATGGCGACACGCATAAAATTTGACTTGGGCATGGAGTTGGTTTTTCTGAGGCGACTGAGGGGGCAGGTTTGGCCCTCGATTCTTTGGGCGATCAAAGTTCGTTGGAATCAGCAAGAAATGGAGCACGGGACAGGACGTTGCTGATGCTGGGGCTCACGAAATGAAAACACATCATTTTCGACTTGCAAAACAAACGTTGGTGCGAAAATTCGACATTTTGATGTTCGACAAATGACCGAAGAACGCTGTACCGAAATTCGGAATGCAAAACCTCTCTATTACTGGCTTAGCTTTGTGCCTGTGTGCCGTAGCCAGAACTCCGGTATCTCGTGTTGGCAGCACTGCCTGTGTGCCGTAGCCAGAACTCCGGTATCTCGTGTTGGCAGCACTGTCTGTGTGCCGTAGCCAGAACTCCGGTATCTCGTGTTGGCAGCACTGCCTGTGTGCCGTAGCCAGAACTCCGGTATCTCGTGTTGGCAGCACTGTCTGTGTGCCGTAGCCAGAACTCCGGTATCTCGTGTTGGCAGCACTGTCTGTGTGCCTTAGCCAGAACTCCGGTATCTCGTGTTCGCAGCACTGCCTGTGTGCCGTAGCCAGAACTCAGGCATCTCGTGTTTGCAGCACTGCCTGTGTGCGTGTGTCAGTGTGCTGTCACGTGATATGCTACACGTCTGCACGATGTCGTTCCGCTCTGCACAGACCGAGACCATAAAAGGTGTTGTTGACATTGGTGACAAGAATCACATTCACACATGTAGACTACACACATAATGAGGGACCTACCCCACTACCCCATTACCTCATAACAACACTACATGCAACCAATCACCATTCAATGCTACGCTCTTCTCATCAAATATGGACAAAGAGCTGATGACACCATGTCTTAGGGTACAGTCCCATACAGACCAGGGTGGTGTCGGTGTTGTCAATTTGATTGTCGTAAAATTCTATTTTATAACCGGTTGTTGCCAAACACGTGTCACCATAATGACATGACGTCACTGAGCAACTTGACAATATAGACACTGTGGTAGCTGCTTGTGTGTGGTCTGGTGTACAACTCAGCAACAGACTGTACATTTGGGTGTGGTCTGGTGTACAACTCAGCAACAGACTGTACATTTGTGTGTGGTCTGGTGTACAACTCAGCAACAGACTGTACATTTGTGTGTGGTCTGGTGTACAACTCTACAACAGACTGTACATTTGGGTGTGGTCTGGTGTACAACTCAGCAACAGACTGTACATTTGGGTGTGGTCTGGTGTACAACTCAGCAACAGACTGTACATTTGTGTGTGGTCTGGTGTACAACTCAGCAACAGACTGTACATTTGGGTGT